CTTGAACTCACAACAATCCTCCTGCCTCAGCCTCCCGAGTTCTGGGATTATATGCGTGAGCCACCACGCCCAACTTCAATCTGATTTTTAGAAGAGGAAGCAGCACAAAATTATTGGTGGAAAGGGAGCAGAAATGAGTAAAGACTTGTAAAATTTTCTATGGAGATAGGAAATCCTCCAGGAATAATTTTTTGAGGTTGGGAAGACCTCTGCTTTTCCCCTCAAACATTTCCACAGAGGGTTAATGCTAGAGAATTAGCTCTTGGTCCAAACACTTTGCCCTCATGCCTGAAATGCTGAGCCTGCTGGGAGCAGAACCTTAGAATGGCTCCTAAACTCACCAGGAGAAGGTGAAATGCAGATTCCTGGGTCTGGCTGCAGACTCCAAGTCACTCTGCCAGGGGCGGAGCTCGGCAATCTGTGTCCCCCCACTCCCACATTTGGGATATGGAGAAAAAGGAAGAGGGCAAGTCGGGCAGAGAACAAGAGGGGCCCTTCCTTGTGTGGGGCTGCAAACGCTGGAATACTGAGGAGCCTCAAATCAATACTCCTCTCAGCCAGGTGTGGTCCCAGCTACTCAGAGGCTGAGGCAGGAGAATCACATGAACCCAGGAGTTTGAGGCCAGCCTGGGTAACATATGGAGACGTGAATGAGAGAGAGAGAGAGAGAGAGAGAGAGAGAGAGACCCAGAGACAGAGAGACACAGAGAGAGACACAGAGAGAAAGAGAGGGAGAGGGAAGGAGAGAGAGGGAGGGAGAGAGAGAGTGAGAGCAAACTGTTCTTTAGAGGAGCAATGAAAGGGGACATTGCACATGTGGGATTCAGATTTTTTCCAGACCTATTTTTACACCCGTGAAGAGTGTTCAGAAGCCTGTCGCAGTTCAGAACGTGGCAACATGTCGGTCACTTTCCTGCCTCAGTGCAAGAGCCTTGACTGCGGCTCCCTCACAGTCTGTGAGCCCAGTCAGGAAGAGCAGAACATTGTGTGGCCACGAGGAGCCAAGCAGCTCTTGGCAAGGCATTTTTGCATATTTTTGTACAGAAATAAGCTCTGCAGAGCCCTGCTTGGGGACAGTAGTAACTGCTGCTGTTTGTCCAACACTCAGGTTGTACAGGTTTATGAAGCCATGGCTGCAGGAAATCACCCAGGGGAAAAGGAAGGGAACACCCTCGCCTTGAGGGACGTTGTGGGGAGGCCGGGTCTGAGGCGAGCAGTCTGGCGGAGGCAGGCCTTCCAGGGGCCAGGGTAGGCTGGGCCTGGTGGGCAGGTGGACACTGGGCTGTCCCATGGCTGGCCAAGGACGGGTCTGTGGCCTGGACAGGGAAAAGGAAGGGAGGACGTCAGCTGGGACACAGAGGGACCCTGATGGCAGAATGGGGTGGGCACCCCTGCCTGCTCCTCCCATCTCCCCTGGCTGTGCCAGAGCTGCCTCCAACCTTCTGGTCCACCCCACCCAGAGATTCCCCCCAGGAGACTGGTGCTCCCCCAGGGCCCTGGGCCAGGAGGGTCGGTAAGTAGGTCTGATGATCTATGGAGAGGGGATTTGTGTTTTAAAGATGATTAAAATTGCACAGTGAATATTCAAGGATGAATTTAATAGGAGAAAGTGACTTTGGATGGGGCAGTAACCACCATTGTTGGGCTCTATGGGTGTTGGCCTCGCACCGTGCAGAGGACCTCAATATACGAAGGGCCTGACCCGCAGGCCTTGTAGACGAGGACTTTGATGTGATGGCTCCACTGAGGAGCTGTACCTGGGGAGCCACTCCACCAAAGACCAGGCAGTCACCTCAACAGACTCTGTGACTTTGACCTCTGTAAAGCCAAGAGCAGCCAGGTTGGGGCTTTCAAGGTTCACCGGCTGGCCACCAGGGCTGGGTCTGTTCCCGCTGCCTTCCCACAACCGACTGCTGCAGAGGAAGTTAGCACTGCGTACTCACCGCGTTTCGGCTGTGTGCGCATGCGTATCGTCGGCGTGCGCGCTATACTGCCTTTATCCTTAGGGGACTTGCCACCCCGGTCCCAAGGGGTGATAGAACTGCTATTGTGTAAACCTGTGTTGGACTCATTTTAACTGGAGGTGATGGGGACAAATCGTTTTGCCCTCGTACAGCAGAACTTCCAAAATCCAAGACCAGCCTGCCTGACCAGTTCAACCCATGTCCACGTCACTGGGGATGTAGCCCTTACTCCCAGGGTCCTGAGCGCCCATCGGCGTCTTCTTCCCTGGGCACATCCCATGGGGAAGACCCACCCAGAGGATGGTGGAGGTTGCACTCCTCAGCTTCCCCAGAGGCAAGCTCCTTTCTAATATCTTTACTTTTTAACTCTGTCCTTACAATTCTGCAAGTTATAAACAGCTAAACCATGCTGCAAACTTGTCTGACAAAAAAAGGGTCTTAGTGCTGCAATCAAATTAAACTTATGCAACGGTTAATAAGACTTGCAAAACCACACAAGGAGCAAAGTCATCACTTTGCATTTGCTTCCTGGTAATTAATCACAGTGGAGGAAGATGAGATCAATCACTGCTTTCCCAGCAACTGCTCTGCCTAAGCCTCCAGCTTAGGAAAGGCTTCTTGCAGTCCTGGGTATTAGCAGGGGCACTCAGCTTTGTTCGGGCTGGGCAGTGTCCAGCTGCTCTGTCATCTTGCAGAGGACTGTCCCACTGGTGGGTAGCATTTGGGACTGCTTGTGCCAAGCCCTCCTTTTCTCTGCATCCAGGTATCCAAGATGTAGGTCTGCATCTCGCTGTGATCCAGTACTATACTTCCGCCAAGACTCAATCTTGTAAAAGTGACAGGAAGCCCAGAGGCCCTAGGATTCCTCCCAGGGACGAGGAATCCAAACCAGGGCTCTGGCCAAAGGCATTCATTGTTCTTCCTGCTTCTCTGCTCCCAGTCTCCTCCAGACTCACCCAGACCTTTTCAGTGAATCTCACTGCTCGTTAAAACAACCTGGCAGTCTTGGTTTCTTGCTCCTGAAAGTGTTTCTCTGCTTGCTTGGTAACACGTCCTACAGTGCCTCCCCTTCCCTTTCTCACTAGCAGAACCCCGAGTTTCCATTTGTCCATACATCTGCCCAGCACAAGTAGGTGCATCAGGACTGATCGGTCCTATCTGTCTCCCTGCCTAGCCCAGTTATACCTTGGTTCACAACTGCTTTGGAACTCATTGAATTGGGTACTTGACACATTTTGACCAGAAAATTTTGTCTCCACACTCATCCTTCATTGGGTAATCAATGTGCAAGCTAGATAAATCTTGGCTTCCATTACTTCTGACTCCTGGCTCACTACCCTTTCTAGCCAAAACAATTTGTTTGGTACTTGTAGTTTTGGGTACTTGTCACGCCTCCTGGAACCAATTAACAGTGAGTACTGAGGTACCACTGGAGCTGGCCAATGACCCAACTCTGGCCAAACAGACCTGAGAGGAAGTTGTTGGAAGCTTCTGGAAAGATTCTTCTCATGGACTTTGCCCTGGCCCCTTTTCTTCCTGCTTGAGAAACCACCACATGCGAAGGGGAGCTTGGAGCCACTTCCAGTCAAGAAACACAGGGTGCTGGGTGTCTGAGGGTTTCGGCTCTCCCTCTGCAAGCCCCTGCCCTGCACTTTTTCACTCTTCATCTCCTAAAGGAAAAGAAACGTGAGGGAACACTTCCCTGAGGTCCAGCTTTTGGCGTGCCTGGGCCACACTGTGTCTTTTCAGGCAACTCCCTCGGGGCGCCCAGGCACAGTGCCTCCTCCGCTTTCATCTGGCCCTGATCAAAAGGTGCATCCCCTCAGCCAGCCTCGGGCACATGCTCAGCAGCCTGTCCCACGGTCCTGTGAGAAGAGCAGTGAGTCTTGGGAACTCACTGGAGAGCCCAGCTGTGCTACTCTCATCCCACTGCTTCAAACAGTGCCTCTGGGATATGTGGGAAACACTCCTTTCTACCTTCAAGTCTGTCTTCCTCACTCCGGGCCTGTGTTCCCAGAGGCCGGCACACCCTGGGGTCTCAGCCAGTGTTAATGGAGTGAATGAGTGAATGAATGAATAAATGAATGAACATGTAACAAAAGGTGCCAAGAGCAGAGGCTGCTGGGTGGAGGAGGCGGCAGTGAGTCACTGGGCTCTCCACACCTCCAGGGCAAAGGTACAAAAACCATTGTCTTAGACAGCAGCCCAGGTGCCACAAGGCGGCTTTAGTCACCCTGGCTTTGGCCTTCACACCGGGCATGCCCCAACACGAGCCCTGTCTGCCCTCGGACCCAAGTCCTCGGCCAGAAGAAAGATATCCAGGAGACTCCTCACCCCTTCACCCTGTGAGGTCACAGTGACAGGTCACCCTGAATCTGCCAGCACCTCGACCTTGGGCTTCCTGGCCTTTAGAGCTATGAAAAATAAATTTCTGTTCTTTATAAGCTCCCAGCCTATGGCAGTTTGTTGTAGCAGCCCAAAGAGAGAAAGATACTAAAAAAAAAAAAAAAGAGAGAGAGAGAGAGAGTAAGATACTGTGTATGAAGTGCCGGCATCTTTAACACAGAGATGTCACTTAGGCCAATCAGCAATGTGGGGGGCATATTCTCCTGTGCCAAGTTATGCTGATGAGGAAACTACCACGAAGTGAAGAGGCTCTTAAAGACCATGCAGCATCTCAGTAGCAGAGAGCTGGAGTTGGTTCCATTTGGTTCTTTTTGCTCTAAAGCTGTATTTGTTGCATCAGCCATAAAAACCCCAACAGATCTGGGGCCTGGAGGAGGGAACCCTGACACCCCCGAGACAGGAAAAGGCCTCCCAGGTCACAGACTCCAGCTGAGTCTGTGCCTCGGCACCCGGGCACATCTCACCTTTCGGAAAGCCCTTTTTCCTTTGTAAGATCCAGATCATCACACAGGCGCAAGAGCGCCGTGAGCGCTGAATGGTGTATGTGGGCGAGATGTCCCCAGTGCAGTCCAGGGATGAAGTGGAAAGACGATGCCCTGTTACACTTCTTACCTGGAACTGTTCACATGACTGGCTGGACGTTGAGCCTGCACCTTCCCTTTCATATCTCTTTGTTTATTTTGGTGACTTGTATTTGGGTGGTTGTTGGGAAATGGTAATGACGGTTAATTGAATGCTGAAGTTGTCTTTCTCAACATTTGGTCACGGAATAGATTGTGTTCTCACCTCCTGAGATGCAAATGAGACACGCAGATATTTCAGCACCACCCAGACATGCTGATTCAGAATTGCTGGGTCGGCCCCGCAACAGTATGATAATCAGTAACCTGCCAGGTAAGGCGGTGCACCCTCAAAACACTGTGCTGTTTCACATGAAAAATCCCGTTTAATTCCCTGAAGGCCTGAGGAGGTGGGAATTAATATCTCTGATTTACATATGAGAAACGTGGGTTGGAGAAGCCAGCGGCTGGCCCCGGGTCTTCAAGGGAACCCCAGGTCTGTGCACCCCTCCACCCCTGCTGACCCTTCCCTCACTACTGCAAATCTCCCGGAAGTGGCACAGTTTTGCTCCCAGAGGACAGGCAGCCCTTGTGAAGCAGGAGTCACTGGAGGCGCAGGAGTGTCCTGGGCGGATGGATGAAACACCTATTTTTACTTGGTTTGCAAGACCATCGGGACTTACATCATTATGCAAATGGGAAAACAGTGAGCACCGGGACTGGCCCGTTGTTGAGAGGGAGCTAAGAAGGAATGACTACCAGTTTGCAAATGTTCCTGAGGTGCCTGTCACCTGCCACACACGAGTTTCGGAGCACTGAGACTTGGCGTGGTGAATAAGGATGACGACGCGATCCACTGAGTTCCTACAATCGCGAAGCTTTTGCAAGGTCTTCCCCACCCAGAGCTCTCGCACCTTTGGGGGAGAATAGGGTGGGTGCTGGGGTTGGAACCCAGGGTCTCGCGCATGCACGAGCCCTACACTCCCGGCCTTACTGTGCCCCTAACAGAGGAGAACTTCGAGGCCTAGAGAGTCTTTGCGCGAAAGTTCAAAGCCAGGGACCGGGTCTGGCTGGCCTCTCAGGATACCTCTCCCATGTCGCTAACCTGCACGGAGCTAGAAGGCCTCAAAGCCAGGCAACTCTGGCCCTAGCCTGGGGTCCGCGTCCGTGCCCTCTTCTCTTCGTGGCACCCTGCCCGGGTGAGAACCCCGTTGGATCCACCGGCCTCGGGGTGGGTTCCTGAGCCCGTGGGTGTGCGCGGGGTCCTCGGAGCCGGCCGAGCTCGGGGTAGGCAAGCTGGCGGCCGCGCGGTGGCGCTGTGAGCCAGGCGACTCGTGTACCTTCGGGACCCTCCGAGAAGCGAGGAGCCAGGCCCTGGACCCACAAGGACCCCGCAGCCCCACCCCGAGAAGCCTGACTGCGAGGCCTTGGCCCGCGGCTGCCGAGGGCGCCCTCTCTCCTCTGCGCTCCACTCGCGCCTCGAGGCGACCTGGGACTGCCGGCTGCAGGGACGGCGCACCTCCGCCTGCTCTGCCCCCTGGCTCCTCCCAGCTCGGCCAGCTGGTCCCAGCCCCCTCGCGGCTCGCAGCCCGCTCGTAATTTGCGGGCTTTAAGCATTATGCAACCAAACAGCAAAAATGACCTCTTTGCTATAAGGCATGTTCTTCCTTGAAAACTCAGTCAACAGATTTCCTGTTTTTTACCAAAAGTAAATTATAAATAGGAGAAAGAGCCGCTGTGCCTTCAGTGACTGCTTTCACAGTCTTTTCCCATCACTCAAGAAAACCGTGCGTACGGGGGTGAGCTTGTGTGCGCCTGCGTGCCCGTGGAAAGGTGGAATTCACATTCACAGCCTCACTTTTCCCGTCTATGAAATGGTAGTAACAGCCAACATGGGGAAATTAAGCACCTTCGAGGCGTGATTGGAAACTGCGGTGTTCAAATTTTTTTAAATGTAACATTAATTACATTAATGTTAATGTGTTGCCACTAATCCACCCTCAAAATACTCCATCTCACTCAAACACGCTTCTCCCGTCTTTCTCTCCCCTTTCTGGAGCAGTTCTGAATGTCCTCTTTCATGGGTGTCTTTAGTTGCGCTGTTGTGGCTGTCTCCGTGTCCTGAATGGATTAAAAATGTTTGTCTTTCGTGGTCCTTTTCTTTGGGCAAGAGTCGGAAACCCCCCAGCCCCAGAGCTGATGAATAAGGTGGCCGAGGACACACTGATGTTTTCAGGAGGCTGCCTTTCCCCTGGCTGGGACTGGCCTGCAGCAGTCACTGTGTTTTTTACCACACCTGCTAAAGACGTTCACGAAACAGGACTTCCAGAATGGCTTCAAAAGGTGGCAAGAATGGTGGGAAAACTGTGCTAGAAGCAAGGGAAGGTGGATTTTGAGGGGGGGGGGGTTAATGGCAATGTGTCCTTTACTATAATAACAATTTTTTAAAAAATTTTTAACATTCACTGTATGTTTTGATCATCCACCATGTATTTTGATTACCCTGCGTATAAACCATTCAGAATATTACCTTGACGCATAGTACTTAGTAACTGTTAATATTATTATTATTTCCACCTTATTTGTGGGATCTGGCATTGTGGGACTTCTGACTCTTCCCCAAAGTCAAAATGATCATGAAAGGTGAACGTTTTGAATAGACTCAGGACATCAAGGACGCCAGGACAGGGCAACAAAAGACACTCAGGAAAGAGGACTGAAGCAGAAGTGCTTCAGAAAGGGCTAGGAACAAGGGGAGAGGGGCTGGGGATTTAGCTCAGCGGCACAGCGCCTGCCTGGCAAGTGCGAGGTCATGAGTTTGATTCCTGGTACTGGAGGAAAACCAAAAAAAAACAAAGAACGACGGGAGAAGCGTGTTTGAGCGAGATGGCGTATTTTGAGCGTTGATGAAGGGCAATGTGTCTTTTTCTGTAACACAGTTTAAAAATTTGAACATTCATCTTGCTGTTCCATCACACCTTGTGGAGCTGCTAGTGCAGGTGCTGAGGGGTCCCCAGGGTTCTGCCCGCTTAGGCCAGGGAGCTGTCTGCAGCAGGGAGGGATGATACTCCGCAGCCTGTTTGTTTCCTCTGAGATGCCAAAGGCTGTGCGCTCTGGCAAAGGCCGCTTAGGCAGAGGAGAGCCTGGCTCTGGAACCCCGCCTTGACCCTGAATGACAGCGTAGAACTTTTGCTTGTGCTGTGCACAGCCTGTGACGAGACTGTAGACACCTGTGCCTGCAGTTCTTTGGGGATTTCCTTCCCAGCTCTCTTGCCTTTTGCATCTCTAGAAGTAAGGTTTTCTTCATCATCGCTCAGTCTTGCACTGCTCCGGACTTGGCAAGCAGCTTTGCTCTGGAACCTTTAATCAACTTGAGTCTCAATCAGGTCTCTTTTTTTTTTTTTTTAATCTTTTTGAGACAGGATCTCGCTATGCAGTTCGGGCTGGCCTTGAGATCACTTTGTAGCTCAGGATGGTCTAGAAATCTCAATGGTCTTCCTGCCTCAGCCTCCCAAGTACTGGGATTACAGGCGTGTGCCACCATGCCCGGCTCAATCAGGTCTTTAAAGAAGCTGCCATCGAACACAATGGCTTCCCTGACAGGCCCCTGTCAAAGCTGGGTACGGTGCACCTGATACCATTAAAAAGCTAACCACATATGCAAATGAGCGTGGGAGGCGAGCGGCAGGCCGGGCAGAAAGTGCTTCTGGTTCCCGCGGAGGGAGGCAGCCTGGGGTGCGGGATGGGTGGCGCTGTCCCTGAAAAGGATGCAGTTTGACAAAGTGGAGGAGGGTGTGGTTTTAGGCCACAAGCGACCCTTTCCTGGTTCAGGTCCTCGCTTGAGTCACTCCAGAGTTCCCCTGCCGGCAGCTGGGAACATTCCAGCCAGTGGCATTTCTCAGGAAACAAGCCGAGTTACTGGAAAACATCACCCCCAGAGCAAACCCTCGGCGTC